CTGGCTCGGTAGGGGAGCTGGCTGGGCAAGGTAGTGATAGCTGGCCCGGTAGCAGATGGCGAAGAATGGGGCCGTGGTCGGTACGACGCAACAGGCGAGCAGCAAACGAGCAGCAGGCAAGCAGCAGCAGGCAAGCAGGGCGTCCAGCGCGCGCGCAGTCGAATGATGGAGAATGCCGGCGATGGGAGGCGATGGACCGTCAGAAGGAGGGTGCGTGAATCAATAGCGAGCAAAGAATGCTGATGGTGCCGCTGACAGCAGAGAGCGTCTCGGGCTCATGCTTTGTCGGTTGAGCAAGAGGCAGCAGACGCAGCAGACGCAGCAGAGTCGACAGTCGGGCAGCAGCCTTGGTCTTGGTGCCTCTCCACTTGGCCAATGGCCCAGACCAGCGAGCGACGGGTGCGTTCTGTCGAGGAGTACGGGCGGGTGCGCGCGGCGGAGGTGGGGGGGGGGGTGGGGGAGGAGGCAGGCAGGAGGAGGCAGGCAGGAGGAGGCAGGAGAGAGGAGGACCAAGCGCAGGAAGGTGTCGCCGGGTGGATGTGGCAGCTGCAGCCCGCCCGCATCAGCGCCTCTTTCCTTGACGCAGCGCACCTGTTGATTCGCCCGCCGGCCTCGAGCAAGCGCCCGCCTGCCTGGTGCAGATGCCTGGTGCCCTGAGGTGAGGAATGGCTGCTGTACCTAGGTACCTTACCTCAGACTACCTGATAAGTACCTCTTACTTTAAGGTACCTTCTTCACCTACCTAAGGTACCTTAACCTAGGTAGGTAAGGTAAGGTAAGGTAGGAATGGTGATAAACAGGAATGCCATTCTCAAACCCCATCCCAAGGAAACTCCCAAGGAAACACTTCCCATGTACACTCCGCCGACGCCTCGGCACCTTTGATCCGCCTGAGACGTCTAGCCGCATCCATACATTCCACACGCCATGCCTTTCACCAGATGGACCCATCCCATCGCGCTGTCAAGACGGCACGCACTGACGAAGGATTCACATCCACGCTCCCGTTCGCCCCCACCCCTTCTTCTCTCTCGCGCGCCATCATCAACCGCCAGAAATCCTTCGCCCCTTCAGCGCCCAGCGGTCCCCGGATCGCCATCGCTTATCGCGGCCCTGCTGATCAGCTCTCCTTCTTTCTTCCGCCGGATGACTACTCCCTGTCTCTGTTTCATGGTAGCAATATCCAAGTGTGCTGTTACTACGGTAGTCGTGAATCATACAAGTGCATCGCTGCGACTACATGCGCCAAGGTGTACAAAACACAACGAGATCCAGTCCTCATATTCCTCTTCATCCCCCTCCCTGACATGCCATCACAACTCACATGAGGTTGCACGTCCCGTACTGCTGCCTACACTGGTCCAGGTACCCCTGCTCCTCGTCTGTGCCCTCGTTCGGCAGGTTGTGCCGCCGTACCAGCCCGTTGAGCCGCAGCGTCTGCTCGCCGTCGCCGTGCCACCACTTGAGCCTCTGCAGCTGCGGCGCCGACGGCTCTTCCGCGTCCGCGTCCTCGCCGAGCTCCCACTTGCCCGACGACACCGTCACCTGGCAGTTGTCCTTGGGGAAGTGGTGCTCTGGCACAAACACAATCGTCGGCGCGTCGTCCGACGGCGGGAAGTCGGACCTGATGCGGAGCTTGTACTCTGCGTTGCGCAGGTCGAATCCTGCCTCCAACACCTTGCCCCCGACGACAACGGCCGTCGGTCGAACGTACGCCTCGGCCGCCCGGAACCCCGGTGCGTTCGAAATCTCCGGGTCCTTGCCCGAAGGCGCCGAGGAGATCGAAGGGCTGCGCATGCTCGACTCGAGGTTGCCCGGTGTGACCACAAAATCGTTCGGCAGGTTGCGTGCGCCGTCACCCGTCATGAGATCCTTGACCGAATTCTCCTTGGGGTCCAGGTGCGGCGGCAGCGGTGATGTCGGCAGAAGCTTGTCGTCGTGGGAGAAGATGGAAAGATCCTCGCCGTTCCACTGGTCGCCGTATTCGTGCGTGTTCTAGTCTGCGTGTTAGCCAGGTGAGCGACGCGCGAGGGGCCCCATCGCCAACATACCGACACTGTGTAAAGCCAGAGACAGTGGCCTTCCATGCCCGAACCCTCGACGCCGAAATAGTTGGCGTCCATCGCTGCAGACTGGCTAGTGTAGTCGCCCGTCTTGTACGCGTAGTGGTCGTCCATGTCGTAGGGAATACCAAACTCCGTCATGATGCACGGGTGGTTGCCCAGGTGCTCCTTACCCTCCTTGTACAAGTAATTGTGCTGGTCCCGGAAGCAGTTGCGGATCGCCGTCTCGCCCACCTTGACTGCCAGCGCCGGTGTCCAGTACCGTCCCCGCAGCACGCCCACCACGTCAACATTCCAGAGCTTGTTCCACTTCTTCGTCATGAGCGTAATGCCATCGTACCAGTGCGGCGCAAAGGCCATCTTTGGGTCGTCGTCTTCCGTGCCCTTGATCTTGGGTGGCAGCTCGAGGGTCGGGTACTGCATGATCATGATGCAGTCGGTGTGGATCGCTCGGATGGCGTCCCTGTACCGTCGGTATCCGTCCATAAAGTGCGTCTGCGTCCAGTTCGGGAACGTGTATTCGAGTCCCGTCTTGGGGTTCTTCTTGAAATAGTCCTTCTTAAGGAGCGTGTCCGTCTTGGGATCCCACACGCCGAGTTGCGCCCAGAGACACTCGCCCATCTTCCACTTTTCGTCGCGCTTCCACCCATACCGCGAGTCGTCGTAGTCGGCGGGCAGCCACGCAATCTCGCCGTGCGGGTCGACGAGCGTGCTGCCCGTCTTGTAACACCCGAGCTGCCCCATATCGTACGTGTCAATCTCGCAGGCGCGCCCGGAGCCCGTGAGGATGCATTGCCACATGGTCGGCGCAGTGCCCTTCTTGAGCTGCTGCTCGGCCGGCAGCACGCTAATGTCACTGTTGCCGCAGATGCCGCGGTTGGGCTCGTTCATGCTCTCCCAGCCGAAAACAACGTCATCGAGAATGTCGCCAGCCTCCTTCAGCCGCTTGCACAAGTGTGCGCAGGCGCCAAAGAAGTGCTCCTGCAGATAATCCTGGATATTCTTGCCGTCAATGATGCATATCGGGGCAATATCGCGCCCAGCCCAGAACAATGTGAAGATGGTGCCGGTTGCGAGACGCTGGTAGTTGGAGGCCCAGATCATCTTGGGGAACTTGGAAGGGTCGGGGTAGAGGTTGTGGACCAGAGCGGCCTCGGTGGCCATGAAGCTCTGGGGGTTGAGACCGCAGGCGTATATCGTCCACATGGGTGCGCCGGAGCCACCGCAAAACCTAGACCACTGGGGTCGATCATGTTAGAAACGAGACGGCAAAGCAATGGCGACGGTAAGTGAAGCAGGGTCCGTTCGAGACGTACAACATCCTGGTGCGGGTCCATGAAAACATAAAAGCCGTAGCCCTTGGCGAGCCTCAAAATATCGATTGTGTGCTGAATAAACTCCTCGTCGTAGCGGCCCGGCCCCGCGGCCTCGAGCGCCTCCCAGGTAAAGACATAGCGGATGGTGTTGAAGCCCCAACGCTTGAGGCGTGAAAAGTGAATGTGGGCTTCGTCTTTTGGAAATGGGCGAGCATGGAACTTGACGCTGTCGCCGTCGAAAAAGTCGGTGCCAATGTGGGAAGGCTGATCTGGTTCGCTGGGCAGCTTTGCGTCGCCTGCGAGGTTGATGCCGCGGAGGACGACGGTGCGGCCCTTGCGGTCACGGAACTGGCCGTCCTCGATCGTCAGGCGAAATTGCGGCGTACTAGACATGGCGTGAGAATATGGCATGTGACGTTCGGCGACGATGTGCGGTCGCTATGGGAAGGAGGAAGGAAAAGAGGAGGAGGAGGAGAACTGGTCGAGTCGCAGGTACGGAGTTGGAATGTCGAGTCGTGCAAATCGGGGGATCGGGGACGCGTGGGACGTTAGGGGTGCCGAGAGGTGGATATGGGTGTCTTGGTCGGGGAGAACCTTGTTCCCGGCGGTGGGTTGCTGGAGACTCGGGGGGCGGGGGGGGCGTTGGGTGATGACGTTCTGCCACGGAAGACGGCCAAGTGGGTGCCAATTTGCTGACTGACTTCGACAGCCTTGGATGATAAGATTGTGTGCTAGATTATGGACGATGTCTTGGGTTCAGAGGTAGTCAGGTTGGTGTTGGGTTATGTACAGATGGAGAAGCCAAATGTTCTCGTTGGACAAAGAGCGAGAGAAATGGCAGTAAACTCAAAGGCAAAATACCAATGCTGCGCTTGCTCTCTCTCGCACGCGTATTCGGGTCACTCTTGCCCTTCCTCGAAGTGACGATGACCCAAGGTCGCCAAGCCATTTTAGTCGCCCCACCTGATCCTGCTCACTTGATTTGAGCAGACGAGCCAACTCCATCCGAAGAAATACCAATTGGTTGGGAATCTGGTGTGTCTTTAGCCTTATGGGGGAACTCCGGCACAGTCGGCTGCCACCCCACTATCGGTCACATCGTAACATTGGCGAGCCCGCAGAAGGCACGCCTTCAATGATCCCTTGATAAACCGACTTGAACAGAAGAGTGGTCAACAGTGATTGATAATGCTTTTCCACACAGAACCTGATGGATCGAGCTACTAACATCCAGGCTTACCATCACCAGTACAAATCGCCAATCTCTTCCCTCCTCGTCGCTTCGCTGTTCTCAACCTCTACGACCTCGCCCTGCGTACCCCCTAACGTTCGTGATGCTGCTTCGGCCCCCGGCTTGCGCCCGTCACCCTCGAGGTAACCAATGCTAGGTTTCGCTTCACGCTTGCCGAGCACCCACCGCCTGAAGAACCACGCCACCCTGGCCGCCTGGTGCCTGGCAAAGTCCCTCTTGGAGTGCTCAAACACCGTGTCGAGGTCCTCGAGGCTCCGCCGCTTCGTCTCCTCCAGCAGGAAGAACACGAGCACGAATGCCACGACGTTGAGTCCGCTAAACAGCCCCAGGGCGCCGGCGTCCTTCAAGCTCGAGTTAATCCTCGGGTAGAACATGGACAGCAGGCCCGCGAAGCCGAGGTTCACGGCAATGGCGAACGCCGCTCCCGCCTCGCGATGCGACAGGGGGAAGCTCTCGGACGCGTACGTGAACGGGATCGGCCCTAGGCCGGGGCTGTACGCCGCCGCGAACAGGAACAGCCACACGGTGACAAGCGGCACCTTGGCCCCGTCCGGCGCCTTGAACGAGAGCGCCGCCGCCGCCATGAAGGCCGCCATGAGCGGCAGCGTCAGGTTGAGCCACTTGCGCCGGCCCAACGTGTCGATGGTGCGGATCGCCGGCAGGCAAAAGACAAAGTTGACCGCTCCGATGCCGAGGCTGTACTGCATCGCCGTCGCCCGGTTCGTGCCCGCCCGGCTGAAGAGCGTGCCCGAGTAAAAGGCGAGCACGTTGATACCACAGAGCTGCTGGCTGAGGTTGACGATCGAGCTGCTGACGAGCGCGTTGCGCAGCCGCCGCACTCGAAGAAGCTGCTGGTACTGCCGGACGAAGTTGACAAACGTTTCTGACATGCTCGTCTTGCGTGGGGCGCTGACCAGGGGCTCGCCCCTGTCGATCGACTTTTGCAAGAGATAAATGTCGCGCAGCGCCTGGAGCTCTGTGCTCCGCAGCTTGCGAATGATTTCGTACGCCCTTTTGGGGTTGTAGTTTGGACTGGACTTACGCAACAGGTAGCGTGGACTCTCGTCGCAGAACCAGATGACCAGGATGAAGAGGGCCAACGAGGGCACGGCCGGTGCAGCCATGATAAGTGCAAACGTGATCTTGTCTGTCTTGGCTGTGCTGAATACAAGGTTGAAGGCAAACCCGATGGCGATGCCACAGGCCACCCACAGCTGCCATGCTAGAATTGACGTGCCTCGCCACAAGCCAACGGCCGTCTCACTGGCAAGAATCGGTGTGCTGACGGCCTTGAGACCCATGCCTATGACGAATCGTCAGTGATGCCCCCCTGGCTTGATCAAAGTTTATCCTCTACGTACCGATGCCGTTGACGAGTCGGATCCCGAATAAATGGTACCATGTCGTTGCAAACGCCGACGCAATCGATGTTGCAAAGATCAAGAACGCCGCGATGGCAACACCTCCCTTTCTTCCAAGGTAGTGGTTGACCGGCAGGGCCAGAGGGCACCCCAGAAGTGCGGCAAACAAGAATGGGGAGGCGTTGGCGGCACCAAGCTTCCAGTCGTCGCCTGTAAAGTTCGACAAGGTGCTCGACACGTCGGCGTCTTCGCGGTCGCCGATTGTGTGAAGTCCAAAGACACCATCATACAGAGCCCCGCCGTTGAAAGAAGACTGGACATGGCCTGGCATTCAGTTTGTCAATCGTTGTGTCCTGTATTCGGTTCTCTTACCCCACGCACCTTGTAGAAAAGCAGCCAGAGAGACCGTCGCTATGATGGTCCAGACGCCACGCTCGCCGAGCGGAACATCGCGCTCTCGACGCAGAGCCTTCTTCTCGTCATCACTCAGCTTGACTGGAAGACCGTGGCTTGCTTCAGGGTCGGAACTGCGCGCAGCAACTTCGTACAGCCGAGGGTCTTTCGCCACGAGCATGCCGCGAATGAGGTTCTTGACGTCGACAAATAGGAACTCTCTGACGAATCTCCGAGCATCCTCTTCGAGCTGCGCGTCACTGAGTTGGCCTAGATGCAAAAGTCAGCGCTGAGACATGTGGTGTCCTTAGAAACTAGACGCTGGCAGCCCGCCACCCGGAGCTGAGAGACTGTTGACCTACCGAGTGGGTTGTCATGGAATGTCTGAGCATGGGATTGTCTTCGCGGTGCGGGGCGACTCGCAGGATGCACATCACTCAATGGCGTGGACATGGCAAAAGAATTCGCAGTTGCCATGTTTTCATGGTGGTATGGAAGCACTGGGATATGCCTGTTCACTAGGGAATAACGAAAACTCAGGGCCGACTAGGTTGAAAGGGCGATCTTTCAACAAGGCAAGGCATTTCTCGGCCTACGGCCTCGGACCAACGGTCAGCATGTTATATATGAATGCGCCCATTCTTTAGGCTCACACCAACTTTCGGTGTACTGTGCCAGCCCGGCCTCAATAGTGGCTGGAAGACGCCTGCAGGTCGGTCACACAGATTCATCTGCTGCGGTCGTTGGGTTTTTGTAGCGGAGGCCACAGCGTCTCCCCGAGTAGCATACCGAGCACCTGCTTCTACGGGCCACGGAGATGCGATGAGCTCGAGAGAGATCAGTTGTCATTCCTATCGAACACGAATGCCGACGCTCATTGATGGTTTAGCTTGGTGGTCGGCCGCAATGCTGACTTCAACGGTGACCAGTGTCAGGGCCAGGCAGGCAATGGTTGAGTTGCATCTCGCCCAGTATCGAACGTCATCGGGGAGAGTGAGGCGAGGTGACCGGCTGGTTGCCTAAGGTAGCTGTGAGCCTTGTGGCTTGTCCAAGTCATTTGGGATAAGCTGCGCCTTGTTGATGAAGGCAATGATGCTTGGGTGGTACTGAGTGAAGGATCACTCTTGCTGATCTTGAGGCTTTACAGTCAGCCACCAGCACACTATTGGCTAGGTGCTGCAGAGATGCCGTTGCGAGTGTGTCACACTTGAGTTGATGCCCCCGAGATCAGCGAATCCTGCACTGCAGCAAGGTCATGGTGCCCCTTCGTTTGATTTCTGGGCAACCTCCCCCGCGTTTGCTGCCGTCGAGCTGCACAGGGCTGTGCCAAGAGGCGGGTGTTGGGCCGTATTCGCCAGTGATAGGATGACGATCTCAATGCACGTTGACGTTGTAGTAGCCTGTCCGCGTACCGTGAGTATGCTGTGTGCCTTGTGTCCAGACAATCCGGTATCGCCTGGCTGGAGCCTGGGAGCCACAGTTGAAATAGCGGCCAGGGCCTTGATGCTCGCGCCCCCTGCCTGTGTGAAGGGTTCAGGTGATACCTCCGCCTCTTGAAGGCCATGTGCGTATGGTTGCGATGCAGCTGACTGATTTCGGCTGCTTGCCACTTTCCTGTCTACCTACCTTACGTTAGCTGGAATTTTCAGATCATTTCCATCCTGTCTCAACTTTCGAGTACCCCATCACAACTCTAACTTGAAGGCTATCACTGTACTTCGCGTCGTGTTCACAGTTCACTGCAATAAAGCCATTCTAACAATCAGGGAGAACCCATTCTTGCTAGTAAACTTTACCGTCGTCTTGATCCGAATGGCTGGGCAGATCGACTGTGTCGACAAGCATGGATCCAGGAAGCATAGCTGCGCTTGTGGCTGCGGCCATCGAAGTGACCGGCAAGCTGTTCATAGGCATTGGAAAGTTCACAAATGATCAACGAGAGGTCCCGGCTGCAATCAACGACTTCAAAGAGCGGATCCAGACGCTGCAGGCCTCCCTGAAGATGCTGGCTTCGGTGCTTGCCCCTCGAGCTCACCATCAGCTGCCTTTCGAGAAGGAGCACCGCCAAAATATTGCGCAAATCCTCAGGTCATGCAAGACCGCGATCGAACGTCTCAGAATGGAACTTCCGGAACTCACAGACAGCCCCAGCTTTTTGGGAAGAGCGAAAACGACTATAGTCATGACGATCAAGTCGGGGGTGATTCAAGGTCTGCTCTCGCACATCAGCTCCTATGCCCAGGTCTTGCAACTGAGCGTCAGTACTCTGTCACTGTAGGTTGACCAGCTTCTGAACACAGACATACTTCCCTTGCTAACACATTTAAAGAGGGTCATTACGCGCACAACAAAAATCACAAGACGAGGTCCAAAAGGAGATCAAGAAGCTCACGCAACAAATCCGATCTGCCGACCTGTTCGCGAACCATGCTTGGACCCGACGCCCAAGCGTAATAAGTTGGGGCGACACGGAGACACGCTTTGATGACACCGAGGCGTTGAAACAAGAAATCCATGCGTGGAGGATCTCTGCAGATGACGTTGCGGCGGCTGCGACTTTGCAGGATTCGAAGAATAATTTGTCAGACACGTCTCTGACCCAACTGATATCGGGAAGGTCGTCCATCCGAACAGCTCCCTCGACGATAGGCGTCGAGTCAGACCAGAAACTCGATGACTGGGACCCGCAGCCGCACAGAAGGGGAGCCAGCCTGGGCCGCGACATACTCGAGGTGCAGTACGAAGAAAATCAAAGCATTGTACAACAACTGGAAGACTGCGGCATCTTTCTCCGAGCGTCTTCGTTTCAGAAGCGAGGTATTGAAATGAGGGAGCAGCTCTGCAGTCCAAACCATGGCGTAGAGTTTCCGTTCAACGATCGAGCCGCTATGAAGGAAAAACTGGCCGACATTCTCCTTTCGTGTGAAACGAGCGCCGAAGACTCAGAGGCCCAGGGTATTCTGCAAGGCGTCCTCGCTGAAGAGGCTGTTCAGCCAGAAGACCAGCAGGACCAAGTTCGACTTGGCCGTTTGTACCACAAGCTTGGCAGCCTTTTCCGCCGGCACGGCAACCTGGACCAAGCCGAGGAGTTCCTGAGCCGAGCTCTCGAAGACAGACGAAATTCCGGTACGGTGCCTGCGCTTGAAGTCCACCAAACTGCGGAGCTTCTGGTCGATGTTCTGCAAGAGCAAGGCAAGTTTGACGAGGCTCGGGGAATTCGGAAACGACTCCGGCAGATATACCCAGACGAGAACAACGACAGCCCAGTAGAAAGCAATGAGCTGTCGAGAGCATATGCTTGGTGTACCGAACACGGGTTCGACATTGACGCTGAGACTTTCAGCTTCAACGCCTACAGTGAGGAGCTCAACACGACGCCAGTACATCTGGCTCTCACTGAACGTGATACCGAGATCCTGCCTCTGATGGTAAAGCATGTAGCTCATCTGGACGATGACAGTCACCAGAACCTAGCCACACCTCTTCTGCTTGCTGCCTCGACGAGGAATCGTTTATCAGTCGAGATACTTCTCCAGTACGGTGCCAACGTCGATAATCGGGACAGTCACGGCATGAGTCCTCTCCACCGATGCCAGACTCGAGAAGGGGGCGTGCAAGTGGCCACTCTTCTCCTCGACAAGTGTCCGGATGTACTGGACATGGTTGACAGCCAGGGTAAAACAGCCCTGTACATGGCCTGCGAGAAGGGAAACAGAGAGATGGTCAAGTTCCTGCTCGAGAGGGGCGCTGATCCCAACATTTGCCAGAGGACACCGGGTACGGGACGAGCTAGCACTGACAATGTGTGCACGCCGCTCATTGCCGCGATCAAAGACGTGCCAGATTACACGTGCAAAGTTGCCATTGTGGAGGATCTTCTTGTTCATAAGGCGAACCCACAATTGACTGATGCGTACGGTGACACTGCTTTCGTAGCAGCGAACGGTCTCGGACTGCCTCGAGACATAATCAAAGACCTGCTGCACAGGTACGCTCCACCTCCTGGGCGGAGGTCAAGCAGCTTTTCGGAGTCGACACGGCAGACAGGTTCATCGTGTGGGAGCGAGGCTGGGTCGACGAAACGAAGAGGATTGAGGCTAGGCTCTCTGTTGAGCAAGACTAGAAGCCAACAGTCTGACAGGAGTTGAGTGAGATCGACAGCCAAGGACCAGAGACTGCAAGCCAGGAGTAGTGTTGAGGAGTAATGATACCATTTTGGACTTCGGGGGTAGAACTTTTGACGGATTTGATGGCTGGTGACCTTGGTGGTCTAGCTTCACGGTTGGCTATGGTGACATGATGCTGGGAGAATGTGTGGGCCACCAAGTACAGGGAGCGACAGCGCAAGTAGTCAGTGGATTAACGGTGCAGCGATTCAATATAGGTAGTATAGTCAGTAAACCAGCAATAGCCCCACCATCTTCGTCACTCCCCCAGTGTCCACTTGAGCTTGAACTGGTCAATCAATGACCACACTCACTCACTCAGTTGAGGCAGGCACGCGCGCACACAGCCTTACTTCCCTGGGATTCCGAATAATCCCCCTACCTGAGATCCCAACCTTTGCCATTCGGGCTGGAACGAGACGACTGAGGTCACTGATCAAATATTGTTGAGCCATATCGACTGGATGGGCCACGAGTGAAGACAGCCTGGAGCGATCGGCTACCGAAACCCCGCGGCACAGCCTTGCCAGGTCCTTCATGAAGAGATTCGCACATACTCAACCACAAAACTATCCAACATGTCGTCAAAAGCCCAGCTGAAGTCCATAGCGGACTCGGTGAAACAGTCCAAGTGGGACGACGCTGTACAAAAGGCCACCGACTTTCTAGGGAACGATCCCAAGAATTATCAAGCGTGAGATGACTCTCGGCCTAGCAATGCACGCCACACTAACGTTTGGTCCAGAAACCTGCTTCTCGCGTTTGCTCTGGACAAGAAGAGCAAGTTCGATGAAGCCGAAAAAGCCTACAAGGCGGCGGCGGCTCTCAAACCCCAGGACAGCCAGGCATGGCAGGGTCTCATCAAGCTGTACGAGAAGCAGGGACCGCAAAAGATCTCGGGTTACAAGCAAGCAGCTCTCAGCCTCGCCGAGATTTGGCGTGATGCCGACGAGATGTACAAGTGTCAAGACGTGATTGACAAGTTCATTGACTACGCACGAGCACAGGGCGATCGCGCACAATACGTCGACGCCCTAGACCTCATCCTGCCGGACAATCCCATCTACCCTGCCCTCGAAGGTCGCGTTGCCCACCCTGCCAAGACCTACGACACCATGGCGCAGATAATTGAGACGGATGAAAAGAAACGCATCAACACGCTCATTGGGGAAAGGAGGACAAGAATAGGCGCTCGCGTTGCCGAGGTCACGCTCGAGGTCAAGCGTGAAGTGCTCGGTAGCAGCAAGCTCGCTCACATATACCAACAGCTCATCATCTGGAGCAGCGATGACGATGTTCGACGAAAGTATGAGGAGAAACTTCTCCAGTGGTGGCACACTATGCTTCTCGTGTCGCCTCCTGGACCACGGAAAGCAGAGGCGCTGCAAACAGTTCTTCGGCTTTCTCTCGACATGGTCATCATCAAGCACCCTTTCCAGCTCGCTTGGGAAATTGCCATCAACTGGAAAGACGGGGCCGATATACGCGACTGGGACGTTAACATGCTGCGAGACTACTGCACCTTCTTTCCCGAGACGGATCTGTACAAGGTCATCACCGGATACCTGACGAGCTCCATCTCTCCCTTTCCAAAGCCCGTTCCGACAGACATAGAAGCCAGTGAGACTGAAGACGAGAGCGAAGACGACGACGGAGGCGGCGTGTCAATGGTGCCACTGACGGATGACGACCGGCTTTTCATGATGATTGACGGCATTGCGACTGCAGACTCGATATTTGCCTACCGTCTGATGGGCGAATACTACCAGCACCTCGAAGAACACGAAAGCATTGTCGAGCTTATGCGCAAGGCTCAGAAGCATCTTGCTGCCGAGCGCATCAAGACTGGCGTGCCATTCCAGCACACGGGCGATGCGTATGCATTGTTCTTGGGAACCGCCCTTGTCTTTTACCAATCTCCTCGCCACCATACGGAAGCCAAGTCTCTATTTGAGGGTGTCCTGGCGCACGACCCATCCTCGACGGCTGCACTGATAGGAATCGGTCTTATCTATGAGGAGGAGGAAGACTACGACGATGCCGTCGACTTCTTGGAGCGCGCCGTGGGCCGGGACCCGAGCAACTTGCGCATCAAGACCGAAGCAGCGTGGGTGAAGGCACTCAAGGGAGACTACGAACTTGCCCGTGCGGAGCTTGAAGCGTCACTGCCCTTGATTGAGAAGAAGGGCCAGACTTACAAGGAGCTCCTTGCTCTGACGCAGTACCGACTTGGTTCGTGCATTTGGAACCTCGACACGTCCAAAGCGGCGCGTAAGAGTCGGACAGGAGCCTATGCCTACTTCTTGGACGCTCTCAAGAACGACCTCAATTTGGCGCCCGCGTATACCAGCCTTGGTGTCTACTACGCTGATTATGCCAAGGACAAGAAGCGGGCAAGGCGGTGTTTCCAAAAAGCAGTCGAGCTGTCATCGTCCGAAGTCACCGCCGCTGAGCGTCTTGCGCGTTCCTTCGCCGACGAAGGTGATTGGGATCGCGTAGAGCTCGTTGCTCAGCGCGTGGTCGACTCTGGAAAGGTCAAGCCGCCGCCCGGATCTAAGCGAAAGGGTATCAGCTGGCCGTTTGCTGCACTCGGTGTCGCGGAGCTCAACAAACAGGACTATCACAAGGCCATTGTGTCTTTCCAGTCTGCTCTACGGGTGTCGCCAGAGGACTATCATTCGTGGGTCGGCCTCGGCGAAAGCTACTACTCGTCCGGCCGGTACATTGCCGGCATGAAGGCGACACTGAACGCACATAAGGTGGAGGAGTCGATCTCAGCCGACAAGCTTGGCGACACATGGTTCACCAAGTACATGCTTGCTAACATCAAGCGAGAGCTAGGAGAGTACGATGAGTCTATTGTCCTGTACCGTGAGGTTCTCGACGGCAGAGCTGGCGAGGACGGAGTGGCCATTGCGCTCATGCAGACGCTCGTAGAGAGTGCGCTTGATGGTATTGAAAAGGGCTTCTTCGGCAAGTCAGTCGAACTGGCACTGGAGACCATCTCCTTTGCGGCCAAAGCTGATGACAGCGTCGTCAAGACGTTCAACTACTGGAAGACCCTGGGAGATGCGTGCTCTGTCTTTTCAGCTGTGCAAAGCCGAGCGGCAGATTTCCCGGGCGAGGCTGTCACGACAATCATCGAAAAGGGAGCCGGGGACGCCTACGCCCTCTTGGCCGACGTCGATCACGTTGATGCCACTGTTGTCTCGGCAAAGGGCCTGTTCTCCGAGGATGAGAGACTCGGTGTCGACCTGACGAGGTGCATCCACGCGACGATCCTCTGCCACAAGCGAGCTATCCACGAGTCGGCGACCGACATACACGCGCAAGCCGTAGCGCACTACAACCTGGGCTGGGCCGAGCACCGAGCCCACATCTGCCTGCCCTCTAGCATCAGGAAGAAGTCGAGCGTCTATCTCAAGGCTTCGATGCGCTGCTTCAAGCGGGCCATTGAGCTCGAGGCCGGCAACTCGGAATTCTGGAACTCGCTGGGTGTCGTTACGAGCGAAATCAGCCCGGCCGTTGCGCAGCATTCCTTCGTCCGCAGTGTTCACCTTAACGAGAGGAGCCCCGTGGCGTGGGCCAACCTTGGAACTCTGGCCTTACTGCAGAACGATGTCAGGCTCGCCAACGAAGCATTCACGCGGGCCCAATCCACGGATCCCGACTATGCACACGCGTGGCTGGGCCAGGGCTTCGTCGCTTTGCTGCTCGGGGAGCCAAAGGAAGCTCGCGGCCTGTTCACGCACGCCATGGAAATTGCAGAGTCATCGTCTGCTCTGACGCGGCGGCAGTACTCCGTGGCGGTATTTGACCACGTTCTCACGACGCCTCTCAACTTTACCATTTCGTCTCTCATACAGCCCGTGTTTGCACTGAGCCAGCTGAACACGCTCAAGCCCCAGGATCTCGCCTATGGGCACTTGTCGAGCCTCTTCAGAGAGCGAACGCGGGACAACGCGCCTGCCGTCGCCGTGCTGGAAAAGATCTGCGGCGTACTGGAGACGGACTACGAGCTGACCGAGTCGGCCCAGTCCCTCGCGCGCTTCGCTCTCGCCAGGACGGATCTTGCTCGGCTGTACCTGGCGGCAGGCTCCTACGAGCAAGCCATTGAATGCGGCGACCTGGCGATCCAGCTCAGCAGCGACGAGTCGGACAACGAACTCAGCATGGACGAGCGCAAGAAGGCGCGGCTCTCGGCCCACCTGACGGTCGGTCTGGCGCAGTACTACAGCCAGGACATGGACGAGTCGCTGCGCTGCTTCGAGGCGGCGCTCAGCGAGTCGGACAACAACCCCGACGCCGTCTGCCTGCTGGCGCAGGTGCTGTGGGCCGCCGGCGGCGAGGACTCGCGCGAGAGGGCGCGGTCGGCGCTGTTCGAAGTCATCGAGGCGCACCCGGACCACGTGCCGGCGGTTCTGCTCCTGGGCGTCATCGCCCTGCTCGACGACGACGACGAGTCGGTCGAGGCCGTCGTCGCCGAGCTGCAGGGTCTCCGGACCAGCGACAAGGTGCAGCCGTCGGAGCATTCGCAGCTCGGCGAGGTGCTGAGCGCCATTGCCGCGCTTGGCGCCGACGCCGCTGAGGAGGAGGGCAGGGAGGTCGTGACCCAGGCGCAGACAGACATTATGCTGTACCCTCACCTGCCGCACGGATGGTCGAGGCTCGCGGACGCCGGCGGCGACGACTACGCAGCGGACACGGCGTTGCGGGTGGCGCTGAAGGCGGTGCCGCCACGTGGGACGCTCGAGGCGGCGGATTTGGCGAGGGCGTACGCCGGCACGGGCAAGGCGGCGGATGCGCAGATTGCCATCCACCTGGCGCCGTGGGCGCGGCAGGGATGGACGGCGTTGCGCGATGCTGTTTCGGCGTGACGGGGTGACATGGATGGGGATGCATGGGAATTGGATGTAGATGTTTTTATGATGAATCAATGTGGTGCTGCCAGATATCATGTTTATAAATGAATCAATATGCTGCTGCCAGAAATCATGTTTATAAATGAATCAATGTGCTGCTGCCAGACATCTGGATAAGCCAGATCTGATCTGGATGAACTGGGTATCTGATGCTGAACTCCTGGGATGCCATGTTATCGTTGCTGGGAACAACCCGTCGTACACTTCTGTCGACCATTCTGGTACTTGCCTACCACTCCCCGAGCAAACAAGATCACGGCCGCGACCCGGCTTCCGAGCCCACAGCCTCCCTCAACCTCGTCAACCGTCCCTCGACCCACGGTCGCTGCCACGCCTCAATCTTGCCGCCGAGCACGACGCAATTCTCGGGCGTCAACAGCAAGGTGCCCCTCGCAACCCTGGTGCCGCTGCGAATGAGCATCTTCTCGCCAATAGCCGTGACGCCGACGCCGATCCTCTCGATCCTCGTCAGCTCCAGCGCGTAGACGTTCTGGCCACGACAGTCCTGCAGCACGAGCCTGTGCGTGGCATTCGCGGGCGCGGCAGCAGCAGACGGTCTGGTCGAGGGCAGCTGCTGCGGTTGCTGCGTCGTCGCCGTGTCGCCGAGGTCATGGCCGTCGGCGGCGTCGTCAGTCGGCAGGCGGATGATCTCGCGGCCGCGGGTGCCCTCGCCGCGCTCGAGGGCCTCGAGGGCCTCGACCTGCTCCCAGCGGCTGCGCGACAGGTTCTCGACGTCGGCGACCTGGACGTGGATGTCGGCGGCGAGGGTGCGGGCGGGGGTCGTCGGGGCGGCGAGGTCGGGCGGGAAGGCGGCGGCGTGGGCCGGGTCGAGGAGGGCTGGGGTCGTGAGGTCGGCGGCGAGGAGGCGGGCTTTGGCTGTGGCGACGAGGGACGGCAGCGGCGGCGGCGGGTGGCGGGTGCCGAGCAGGGCGGTGAGCCAGGGCGTGGTCGGGGTTGGGTAGTGGGCTGCTTGGAGGGCGAGGCGTAGCTGGAGGGCGAGGTCCATGGTGGGTGATGAGGGTTGGAACTTGGTGATACTGAATGTGAGCCTCCTTTGCCCACCTACCTTACCTTACCTAAGGTAGGTAGGTAGGCACCAGGTACCTAGGGACTCTCGTGACGGGGACTTCCAGCCTTGTCCAGCGCCTGGTGCCTAAGGCATAGGTGCCCCGCGGCAGTGGCGGCGTACCGGGAAGGCGCTGTCAAGGCCCCGCCCTTGCTGACCCAGCTCAGTGGTGCCTGCCTCCCCTCCTTACCTTTCCTACCTCCTTTGGAACCTCAAAAGGAAAGAAGCAAGACCTCAAAAGGCAAGAGGCAAGACCTTAAAAGGCAAGAGAAAAGGGCGAGACCTCAAAAGGCAAGAGAAAAGGACAAGACCTTAGGAATGAGATCACAAACAGCTGCCGAAGCTCCCGCCCGACAGAACCTCGAAAACCTTCCTCGGCACCTTCTCACCTTCTCACCTAACCTCTCCACACAGCAAGCCAACAACCAAGCAGGCCATCGGACGGGGCCCAGTGAGACAACTACACAGACATCGGATCGAATCACTAATCCTCCCGACATGATTCACGATACAAACCATAACTTTCTCCGCCAAACACTCCCATGACTTCTGCCAAGTACCGGCACGACCGCCCTCTAAGCCCCGTTCCCCATCTTCGTCGGAGCCTTTGTGTCATCATCCGGAAGCTTTGCCATGTGCATCGACCCAGCCCCGCGGCATCCTCTGAAACTCCTATGACTGATGCCGCTTCGTCAGGATGCTTTCATCTGGGACGCCAGCACTACATACTGCTCCGCCAACGTCTCGTCGGAGAATGCAGTGCCATGCAGCCCTCACGCCGTACCACCCCCTTTCATCTGGGTATAAAACTAGGTTATGCAGATTATGAACCTAATCTGCACTGCAAAAATGAAGTAGCAGAAAAGACCGCCTTCTACAACACCACATAGCACCTACATAACCATACAACACACATAGCACCTACATAACCATACAACACACATAGCACCTACATAACCATACAACACACATAGCACCTACATAACCATACAACACACATAGCACCTACATAACCATACAACACACATAGCACCTACATAACCATACAACACACATAGCACCTACATAACCATACAACACACATAGCACCTCGCATAACCATACAACAGCCATGGCACCCCTCGTCTTCGTCGTCGGCGGCACCGGTGCCCAGGGCATCCCCGTCATCCGTGGCCTCGTCAAGGACGGCGCCTACCGCGTGCGTGCCCTCACGCGGGACCTCCACTCGGCGCGCGCCAAGCAGCTGCTGGCCCTCGGCAACGTCGAGCTGCAGGAGGGCTCCTTTGCTAGCGAGACGGACCTGCGCGCCGGCTTCCACGGCGCCCAGGCGGCCTTTGTCAACATTGACGGCTTCAACGCGGGCGAGAAGACGGAGATGTTCTGGGCCATGCGGTCGTACGAGCTCGCCCTCGAGGCTGGGCTCGGCTTCTTCGTCTACGGCAACCTCGACTACGTCTACAAGAAGAGCGGCTACGACGCCCGCTTCCGCACCGGCCACTACGACGGCAAGGGCCGCATCGGCGAGTGGATCCGCCTGCAGAACGCCGACAATGCCGGCCGCATGAAGGCCGCCATCTTCACGACGGGCCCCTACATAGCCATGGCCATCGCCGCCTACACGCCCATGTCGCCGCGCGTCGAGGACGGCGTCGTCACCTGGCGCGTGCCCCTCGGCGACGGCGCCGTCGCCCACGTCGACCTCGACGACTGCGCGCACTACGTCCGCTGGCTCTTCGACCACCAGGACCGCGCCAGCGGCCTCGACCTCGAGGTCGCCATCGACCTTATCCCCTACGCCGACCTCGCGCGCGCCTTTGAGACGGTCACCGGCCACCCGGCGCGCTACATCGACACGTCGCTCGACGACTACTGGTCGGCCAGCAGCGCCATGGGCGACTCCTCCCGCCCGTCGGCCTACAACTCGGACCTCAACGATCCCGCCGCCATGACGCAGCGCCAGAACTTCACCGGCTTCTGGACCATGTGGAAGCACTCAGGCGGCAACAAGGGCGTCGTGCGCCGCGACTTTGCGCTCCTCGACGAGATCCACCCGGGCCGCGTCAAGACGGCAGAGGAGTACTTTCGCCGCGAGGACGCCCGGGGGCGCGCCGCGGGCCTCGGGACGCTCTGGGAGCGGGTCAATAAACTGCGGCCCGTGCTGAAAATCGCCGAGGACGGCATGAGGGGGCGGATCTGAGTGTGATGCATGGGGGTTGCTGGGAGTTGCTGAGGGTTGCCGAGCGGCATGTGAGCGCACAAGGTACACGAGGTTTGGAGGCCATATTGCTTGAATCTCATCAGCATGTTGAGCGAATACATATGAATATACATGACATGGGAAGTACATGATCTCGAAACTCTCATGACGTATCACACCACTTGAATAAGGTCCTCCCATGGCACATCATGTTCGCCGGTACGTTGAGGAAACAGATGTTGACCCACAACCAAGGGACGAGCCTCCATGATGAACCTAGCCGACTAATTATGCGCATCTCCGTCTGCGTATAAAGAGATTTCCTTCCTACACCTGCCAGAGTCATCCAGGTGCTAGCCTGCCGAGAGAATCATTGACTCGGATGCTGGCGTTCCAGAAGATCATGCTGGATTCTTTATTCATAATCATCTTTATTCATAGTCATCATAAAACGACGACATGCCAAAGGACATGGACTCGGTCATTCCGCGATTCAAAGTCTTTGTCTCATTCACTAAAAAGACATGGTCAACATTTGCTGTCAGATGTGAGGTGCAGCTCTAGTGCCCCACAGGACTTGTGAAGCTCAGGGACAAAGCTCCAGGGACCCCTGCTCCTGCTCGGTGGACCTAAGACGCCGGACCAGCGACAAGGGCCACCTCGATGACATGGCCCAGCTCGCTTCTCGATCGAACGAACAACGACTTCACCACTACACCAGCACGCCAGCATCCGGCACGGCAACCCCCATCGAGCCCTCGACGCCATCCTCGACGCCATCCTCGACGCCATTCTCGGCGCCATCCTCGACACTCCATCCCTCCGCCGCCATGTCCACGATTGCGTCCCCCCGAGACCCCTCCGTCGGGCCCCTATCCCGCCGCATCTCGAACCAACCCCTAACACCAACAGGCTCAGCTCGCCCCTCCCTCGACAGCGCCCGCTCCGCGACGACGTCTCCCCGCCCAAGCACACCAAACACAGCCTCCATAGGGCCGCCGCCCGCCAAGCAGCGCGCCAACCGCGCCGCCCTCCGCGAATACTACAACCTCAAGAAGCAGCAGCAGCAGCAGCAGCAGCAGCAGCAACAACCACATGCCGCGGGCGCCGGCGCGCCGCCGACCCTCGAGGTGACGCAGCACTCCGAGGTGCCAGCGAGCGAGCTCGACACGGCCGACTTTGACGCCGACGCCTACGTCCAGCGCGCCGTCGAGGGGTCCTCGCTCGCCGAGCTGCTGACGCTCTACACGCGCGTGCTGGGCGAGGTGCGGGCGCTGGACGCCGAGAAGAAGGCCCTCGTCTTCGGCAACT